TAGGCAGCCAAGATGTCGTGGCTCCTGCCTCCGAGAAATAAGCTCTTACTGGCAAAAAAAGTTTGCATTTAAAAATCCATCTTGAGCCCAATCGGTAAGTACGGGGTACAAGTCTACGGTATAACGGCTAAATCGAACCTCAACAAAATTCGAGTTGGACAAAGTAAAATCGTTAGATTACTTTGAAATGCCCCCTGGTACATGAGAACTAGAGGCATCGAAAGAGATTTTAATATTCCAAAGATAGACGATGTATGTAGGACAAACGCGGAAAATTTCATCAGACGACTTGGCTCTCATCCTAACTCCCTGGCCAGAAGAGTTACTCGTAGACCAACAAAAAAAAGACTAAAAAGATTCCACCAACGCGATCTTCCATCGAGATACATATAAATATAAATTTATATTATTACTTCCAAACTAAAAAAATACTCTTAAACGAGAAATGTAAACTAATGTTTATTTTGTTATACCTATGCTAGCAATATGATATTTACAACTTGGTCAAGCTGCCACATGGGTAGCAGAAAACTTCTTAAACTTTAAATAATAATACTTTTTAATTAAAAAACAAGAAAGGAAAGCTAACTTCGGGCGGAGCCGAAGTTGATATACCCTTGCAGAATACAGACGGACAGACGGACGGACAGACGGACATGCTTACATCAACTCAGGAGGTGATCCTGATCATAAATATATATACTTTATAGGGTCGGAGATGTCTCCTTCACTGCGTTGCACACTTTTGACCAAAATTATAATACCCTCTGCAAGGGTATAAAAATATATATATACTAGCAGGGTGCCCGCAGCTTCGCTTGCGATGGATGACCCGGATATCCTACTTTTCTTATGTAATATGTTTGCAGTAGAACTATCTAATTTTGCATTTTAGATGTTACTTTAAATATATTTGTAGTTTTGGCTGAAACTTTAATTAACCCTCATTTCCACAACACCCGGAGGTAGAGGATACGGCGCGTTTTTTATACCCGTTACTCTTAGAGTAAAAGGGTATATTGTATTCGTGCAAAAGTATGTAACAGCTAGAAGGAAGCGTTTCCGACCCTATAAAATATTTATATTCTTGTTCAGGATCACTAGCCGAGTCGATATAGCCATGTCCGTCTGTCCGTCTGTCTGTCTGTCTGTCCGTATGAACGCTGAGATCTGGGAAACTATAAAAGCTAGAAGATTGGCATTTTGCATTCAGATTCTAGGAGTTCCGCCCCCTTTAACGCCCACAATCGCTTATATACGATTTTAAAAATTTAAATATTTCGGAAAAGTAAAAATGCAGTTTTATTGTGTTTATCAATGCCTATCGAAATGTAGAAGAAATTTTTCAAATCGGACCATTCGTTAAAAAGTTATGCGTGATCAAAGTTTCTATCTCCATCTCCCTCGCACTCCCTTTACCTGAGTAACGGGTATCTGATAGTCGGGGCACCCGACTATAGCGTTCTCTCTTGTTATACCCTTGCAGAGGGTATTATAATTTTGGTCAAAAGTGTGCAACGCAGTGAAGGAGACATCTCCGACCCTATAAAGTATATATATTCTTGATCAGGATCACCTCCTGAGTTGATATAGCCATGTCCGTCTGTCCGTCTGTCTGTCCGTCTGTCTGTCCGTCTGTCTGTTTCTACGCGAACTAGTCTCTCAGTTTTAAAAATATCGAATTGAAACTTTGCACACACCCTTCTTTCCTTTGCACGCAGTATATAAGTCGGAACGGCCGGGATCGGACGACTATATCCTACAGCTGTCATATAACTGAACGATCGGAAATGCCATAACTTTGGTGTTTATAAAGTTAGGAAGTTGAGATTTTCTATAGGTTTTATTTTTGGCCAATCAATCTGACCTACCGAATTTCATGAGAATCGGCCGACTATAGCTGCCATATAACTGAACGATCGGAAATGCCATAACTTTGGTGTTTGTTAAGTTAGGAAGTTGGGATTTTCTATGGGTTTTATTTTTAGCCAATCAATCCGACCTATCAAATTTCATAAGGATCGGCCGACTATATCCTATAGCTGCCATATAACTGAACGATTGGAAATGCCATAACTTTGGTGTTTTTAAAGTTAGGAAGTTGGGATTTTTGATGAGTATTAAGAATGCATCATATGAATAATTTTGGAGAATATAATTTACAGAGTATTCTGCAAGGGTATATCAACTTCGGCTCCGCCCGAAGTTAGCTTTCCTTTCTTGTTTTTAATGTGGTTTCCCACAAATAGGCCTAGTCCACAATATAAGTTCAAATATTTTTAAACGTTATTTCAAAACCTCTCTGTAAACAACCTTTTTTGTTTGGCCATCAGAAGATAGGATGATTAAGCTCTTTGCTGAGCTAGCTCTTGAACAGGCCACATAAAATTGTCCATGTGAAAAACAATCGTCCCTAAGATCTAAGCTACTTTCAAAGTCTGCCACTTAAATTCGATATTAGATCGACTTTTTGCTTAGTTTCTTTGTTTAGAAGATAGCTAGAGCTTTGAAACCATCAAATGAATCGTTAAAGCTTAAGGAAAAACTTTACCGAAGGAATTTTTGATACTCAGCTTAGAAGTGCCATTTTTCGACGTTTGGAGAGATTTTTGTCTAAATTGTAATTTAAGAACGTGTGTTGAAAATAGTAAAAAGCCTTAAAACCGCTTAGATGGTCAAATTTTTTAAACATTTACAATGTCTTAAACTATTTTTTGGCGAAAACACGGATTCGATTTAGCGTCCAGAATTTTTGAAAAGAAAATTGACCTTTTTTCCAATTGGAAGCGGATGGGGCCACTTCGGGAACCCCAATAAATCTTAGCAATTCACTTTAAAGTTATTAGAATGTAATAAAAATACATATTAATATTGTTAACCAGTGGTTTTGGCTCTGCGTGGGTTGCCAGTTTTCTTACTGATAGCTTTATATATAGAGATATATATTTTTGTCAATATTCAGTTCAATTCAGTTTTCGTGAGTCACTTACACTCACTCGCGGATATCTAACAATATGTTTTTTGAATTCTTGAAACACAAACTACCTTAGCGGAAAACCAGTTTGAAAACACTAAACTTTCTACGCCCATATTTCTCTCTTATAAGAGAGATTTATCTCGATCTGCGAAAACGGAGCTGTGATGATAGATAGCTTAAAAACACAAAGTTTAAAATAAAACCTTTCATTAAAAATGAAGGTAGGGATATGCATTCCGATTCTTAAACAAATTTTTAAATTTGGTAACTTTTTTCAAATTTGGTGAGGTCTAACTTATGAAAGTATGTAACAGTTCGAAGGAGCAACTCTACACTCATAGCAAAATTAATCCTAAATTTTACAAATTCGCCAAAAACTTTATTTTTTCTAAATACAAGAAATGATTTATATTATATTTTCAATAAATTTTTTTTTAAAAACAAAGAAATTTTTCTTTATTAAGAAAGTGTTTCTCAAATGCAGAAATTTTCGCCATAAACTAAAATTGCCCTAAATCCAAGAAAAAAGTTCTATATTTTAATTAAAATGGTACTTGTTTTTAGAATTTTTTTTCTTAAAATAAGGATAATGTGCCCTAAAATAATACAATTTTTTTATTTTGATTTTTTAATTTTTCTATGGGAGCTATATGATATAGACGTCCGATTTTACTTTAATTAAAATTACCAAAAAAAATTAAAAACATCAAAGTTATACTTTTCTTAATTTTTTCTTTCCGATTGTTTCTTTGGGAGCTATATGATATAGTCCCCCGATCCGGCTCGCTTCGACTTATTTACTACCTGCAATAAAAAGACAACTTTTGACTTATCTTATAATACCATCTGCAAGGGTATACAAATTAGATAGCCTTAAAAAATATAAACATTTTCTATGATATAAAAATAAATTTTCTTAAATATAGAAATATTTTCTTAAATATAGAAATATTTTCTTAAATATAAAAATATTTTCTTAAATATAGAAATATTTTGAATAACATAAAAAAACATTTTCTAAAATATCACACCCTGACCATAAAATTGTTCTAAAGGTTAAAAGGACTTACCAGAAATCTAAGCACCGATAATTGAATTTCAACTGTCGTCGGGCCATACACTTTTTTCTTTTCTTTTTTTATACTCTTGCAGAGGGTAGTATAATTTTAGTCAAAAGCTTGCAACGCAGTGAAGGATACATTTCCGACCCAATAAAGTAGCCATGTCCTACTGTCCGTCCGTCCGTTCAATATGTTTCAAGAGGCCAAGAGGCATATCCGATTGTTCCAATTGGAGCTATAGGATATAGACGTTCGATCGCAGATCAAACTTGATCTGCGTACACATGTTTTAGGACGACTGTGAAAGTTTCATATCGCTAGATTTTAAACTGAGCTCGCAAACGGTATTAAAACAGACGGACATGGCTCTATCGTCTTTAGCTTCGGGCGGAGCCGAAGTTGATATACCCTTCCGTAAATTATATTTTCCAAAATTATTCATATGATGCATTCTTAATACTCATAAAAAATCCCCACTTCCTAACTTTAAAAACACCAAAGTTATGGCATTTCCAATCGTTCAGTTATATGGCAGCTATAAGATAAAGTCGGCTGATTCTTATGAAATTTGGTAGGTCGGATTGATTGTCCAAATATAAAACCAATACAAATTCCCAACTTCCTAACTTAAAAACACCAAAGTTATGGCCTTTCCGATATAGCAGATATAGGATATAGTCGGCCGATCAGGCTCGTTCCGACTTATATTTTACCTGCAATAGAAAGACAATTTTTGGGAAAGTTTCAAGCAGATAGCTTTAAAACTGAGGGACTAGTTTGCGTAGAAATGGACAGACGGACAGACGGACGGACAGACAGACATGGCTAGATCGACTCTCCTGGTGATGCTGATCAAGAATGTATATACTTTATAAGGTCGGAAATGTCTCCTTCACTGCGTTGCAAACTTTTGACTGAAATTATAATACCCTCTGCAAGGGTATAAAAACCCTACAAAGCAATACATTTTTTGGATGCGAATATTTATTACAATGAATATACTAGTTTATATAGTATGTGTTTTCAATATATTCGTATATATACAATTTATAAAAACAGCCTACTGAAGAACTATTCATCGACAAATGGATGGCTTTGGTTTACCGACCGAAGCGCATGTGGCCGTAGTCATCGAACTGATCATCTCCTCCTCTTTTACCAAACCTCATGTGGCCATAGTCGTCAAAACGTTTAGCTTTTGTTCGATCGTCATCATTATCCATCAGAAGGTCCATTTCGATTGGGATCATAGGGCGGGATATCATTGGCACTCTTCGACCGAAACTAAGAGTTTTCTGGTTCCGCCTGTCTCCAAAGCGCGAGAATGATGATCCAGCTAAATTTGCGTTGGATTGGTCCGTTTCCGCTCCCATTTTGGACTCCAATTCCTGTAGTCGACGTTCTTCTTTTGCGATCTCCAGACTAGATGTCTGGGCTGGGACCGGCACCATCACGAGGAGGCAAAAAGCCAATGCCCAGAGTGGCATAACCAGGGTGACGAAGTGCGTGCAACTCCTGAGTCTCATTCTCTACTTTGCCGTTGGCAGACTAGTGACCAGGAACAACGGCGCTTCCTTTTTATATGATTCGCAATGACGTGAGTCTCCCCTTGCCTGCTTAATATTCCTTTACCGCGACTGCCAAGGATTAAGTGCTTTGAGTTATTCAGGCAACTGAAATTAAATCAACCCTAAGGGACTTGACTTGTGATTGACTTGATTGATTAAATTATTTACCTGGCGCTGCTCTGCAAAATTTTTGAATTCTATAAACACCTTTAAAAATTATGTTGGACGTGATGTGGGTAAATACACATTTAAAGCTGACTTGCAAAAAGAACGTAAACTAACTCTTTAATCTGATATATGAAAACTTATAAGACAATTCTCCAAAACCCTAATTAAAATAATTCTTTAATACCCTATCATTTTTGTTTACTTATACGATTAGGTACGATTTTAATTAATGGAAAATATAAGCATTTGGTTCCACAATACACGTTTTTTATATTATACATACTTAAACCAAATGTAAAACTTTGAACTGCATAAACTTTAATGTATAGATGTGGAGTGGATGATTATAAATTATTACTTTATTTACTTATAAAGATTACTTTTTTGAAAATGAGAATTGTTTTATTGAAATAGTTAACGTCCTAATGAAATAAAAGTATCACAAAAAATGATATGAAAACTTTGCAAATTGTAGAATCGTATTTTGAGCTATTAAATATAGTGGATTATATTGACTCTGCGATGTATGTTGCATAAATGTTTACTTTAACTATCCAAGAATGTGTCCCCAAAATTTCAGAAACAAATTCAAAATATTTTTAAAGTTACAGGATAAATAGTGAGATTGACGTGCGATTTCTCGGTTTTTCATTTTTACGATTTCTCCTAACTGGTAGAAAAATTAATTTAATTTAATTATTTTCTAGTTGAACCTAAACAAGAAAGGAAGCAAGCCGAAGTTTGCATAGAAACGGACAAACGGACGGACAGACGGACGGACAGGCAGACGGACAGACAGACAGACGGACGGACAGAAGGAGAGACGGACATGGCTAGATCGACTCTCCTGGTGATGCTGATCAAGAATATATATACTTTATAGGGTCGGAAATGTTTTCTTCACTGCGTTGAAAACTTTTGACTGAAATTATAATACCTTCTGCAAGGGTATAAAAACCTTAAAACCGTATGAAACCCACTTTTTAAACAATCTGAAATGATTTTTTTTCACTTTTTGTTTAAATTGTTTTGGTTTACCTAGAAGCTATACTATTGATAATAGAACATTTGTTGGATTTTTTTCTGATGAAATTTGCGACCTGCGACATGCACACTCGAGGCGCCTCGGCGATATGCTTATACCAGGCATAATATGACATATATTTTAATGAAACAATTTGAGAAGACTGTTGAAATATATAACAATAAAACCTGAAAGTTTTGTTTCAATCAAATACATCTTTCCTTCCCAAAAAAGTACTCGGCTCCCCCCTCAATACTCCATAAATATTTAAGTAATAATTTGGTAAACTAAAATAAATTGTCGCCGAACAGAAATCGTAATCAATATGAACTTATTTGGGTGTCAGGGTGTTCCTATTGCGACACAAAGTCTATATTAGGAAGATCATCAAATTGACACCTTTGGTAGTGTCAAACTGAAAATTTTGAAATTTTCAATGCAAATTTTTGAATGACAATCTGCCATTATTCATTGTCACTTTTCAATATTAATATGTCACTGATTAAAAAAGTTTCTAGGATCATTATACCATTGCAGAGGTATTTTGGTCAAAAGTGTGCAACGCAGTGAAGGAGACAGTTCCGACCCTATAAAGTATATATATTCTTGATCGCGTCCTGAGTTGATATAAGCATGTCCGTCTGTCTGTCCGACTGTCTGTTTCTACGCGAACTTGTCTCTCACTTTTAAAAATATCGAATTGAAACATTGCACACACCCTTCTTTCCTTTGCACGCAGTATATAAGTCGGAACGGCTGGGATCGGCCGGCTATATCCTATAGCTGCCATATAACTGAACGATCAGAAATGCAATAACTTTGGTGTTTGTAAAGTCAGGAATTTGGGATTTTGTATGAGTATTAAGAATGCATGAATACTTTTGGAGAATATAATTTACAGAATTTCTGCAAGGGTATATCAACTTCGGCTCCGCCCGAAGTTAGCTTTCCTTTCTTGTTAATTTTTTTTTTGTTCTTTCGGATTTGGTAATATTTAAATAGTACGTAATTACGGATTTAAATAAATTGAAATCTATATCACATTGCTGCAATAGGAAAATGAAAAAATTAAAAACATGAAAATTAAAAAAAATATATATATATTTTGCTGTTTTTCTATTTATTAAAATATTTCTTTGAGATATAGTAATTATATAATGAATCAGAATTACGCTTTTAGTTTTATCAAAATCGGACAACAATATCATATATGTATTATATATCAGCTATGAGAGAGCCTGAGAGTCAAAAAGCTGGCGAACGCTTTTCGTCAGGCTCTTGTTTCACCCCAGTACTCAGATCAGTCTTGTAAAATTAGAATTGGGTGAACGTTCTTTTGGGCCGTCTTTTGTCAGAGCAGAGTGTTTCTTAGGTCCAAAATAGGAGGAAAAACACAACAGAAAAATCGCCTGCAAGAATTAAGGGCAGCTCTGATCTTCAAAATTACCAAATAATTACCAGGAATTACAAAAAAAAAAATATTATATTTAAATTATATTGTTTTCTAAAATCTTTGTATAGACATGTCTTGCCAAAGTAGTTGAGAATATCTTTTAAGGGCTCTTTCCCGCATATAAGATTTTTGAATGAGAGAGAGAGAGTCGAAAGGTAAACAGCTGGCAAATGCTTTTCGTCAGGCTCCTTTTTCATCGACGTAAAAACAGAAAATTGCATAGCGTTGCCAAAAAATTACCAGTAATTACAAAAAAAAACAAATATTATATTGTTTTCTAATTTCTTTGTATAGACATGTCTTGCCATAGTAGTTGAGAATATCTTTTAAGGGCTCTTTCCCGCATATAAGATTTTTGAATGAGAGAGAGAGGGAAAGGTAAACAGCTGGCAAATGCTTTTCGTCAGTCTCCTTTTTCATCGACGAAAAAACAGAAAATTTCATAGCGTTGCCAATATACTGAAATAAACTTTGGGTGACGAACAGATTTCGTCGATCTGAGTACTAGACGTATAGCTATAAATAAAGATCCTGACGAAAAGCGCTTGCCAGCTGTTTAAGCCTAGTACTCAGATCGACTAAAACTGTCCACCAGTCATGATAGAGAGCGAGATGCAAACAGCTGGCGTACACTTTTCGCTAGGTTTTTTTCACCTCGGTACTCAGATCGACGAAAAAATAGCAGAAAAATTCATAGCGTTGCCAGTCTGCTGGAATGAACTTTGAGTAAACCGTAGCGAAAAGAATAAAAAATTTAATCACAAAACCCCCAGAGTGTTTCTTAGGTCCAAAATAGGAGGAAAAACACAACAGAAAAATCGCCTGCAAGAATTAAGGGCAGCTCTGATCTTCAAAATTACCAAATAATTACCAGTAATTACAAAAAAAAAACAAATATTATATTTAAATTATATTGTTTTCTAAAATCTTTGTATAGACATGTCTTGCCAAAGTAGTTGAGAATATCTTTTAAGGGCTCTTTCCCGCATATAAGATTTTTGAATGAGAGAGAGAGGGAAAGGTAAACAGCTGGCAAATGCTTTCGTCAGGCTCCTTTTTCATCGACGAAAAAACAGAAAATTTCATAGCGTTGCCAATATACTGAAATAAACTTTGTGTGACGAACAGATTTCGTCGATCTGAGTACTAGACGTATAGCTATAAATAAAGATCCTGACGAGAAGCGCTTGGCAGCTGTTTAAGCCTAGTACTCAGATCGACGAAAACTGTCCACCAGTCATGATAGAGAGCGAGATGGAAACAGCTGGCGTACACTTTTCGCTAGGTTTTTTTTCACCTCGGTACTCAGATCGACGAAAAAAATAGCAGAAAAATTTATAGCGTTGCCAGTCTGCTGGAATGAACTTTGAGTAAACCGTAGCGAAAAGAATAAAAAATTTAATCACAAAACCCGTAAAAGTCGATTGCAGGAGTTTTTTGTGAGGGTGTTAATCTTTTGGGGTGCCTCTTGTCAGAGCAATGTGTTTCTTAGGTCAAAAATGTACGAAAAAACATAATAAAAAATCGCCTGTTGGAACTAAGTGTAGCTATGAACTATAGGTTATCAAATAATTATCAGTAAAGCAAAAAAGAAACAACTTTTAAATTGTATTGTACTCAGATCGACAAACGAGTTCGCTAGCGGAAAAACTTTAATGTTTCCAGTGTGACCAAAATCTAAGGAGTTCATCCGAACTGAGTATACTACGGTCTTACTGTCAATCAGCTGGGTTTGTTGACAAGCAGAAAACCAAACAAGTTTAAATGTCGAGTTCAAAGGACACAAGCGTGAAATTGGTGGTCGGCTTGGCGGCATGAAATGTGGCAATAGAGGAAGAGCCCATATCTGCATTAGACTTCTGCATGAATGTACTCATTTGTAGCATAACAGATCTGTACAGTAGTATGGTGTTCTTAAAAATACTGCACTCATTCTTTACTGTAAAGTATACTCTATAGGCCAGAAGAAGATAGCACAACATTTTCAGTGTACTCACTTCGCGTGAGTGCAGTATATGGTTGTACTCTTCGTGAGTGATTACTACATTTGTCCTTTTTTAAACACGCTGTACAGCTGTCGAGTTGACTGAGTACAACTGTGCAGATGAGTGCAGTATTTTTGAATAAGTGCATAAACATGGATTTTAAGGAAAACAACGCTCGTGCAATGAACTCACTAGATAATGTAAGTTTTTGTCATAATATATATGTTTTGTAACAAAGTATATGTGTTGTTTTATATGTTTGTGATTGTCTTTTATATGTTGAAGGTTATTTAGTGCCAGAGACCCAGGCAAAAACAGTGATTGTTAAATATATGT